GCAGCAGCTCACAGAATCACGCAGGTCAATTGAATGGCATTTCACTTGGAGAATGACAGCAACTAAGCTTCAGTCTGCACTTTCACTCGATTGGGGTGGTCAGTGGGTGGAATTTGGGTGAGGGAGGGGCGTGGGATGGGAAAGTGGGTGGCGACTCAAAAGCTGGCTTTGATTTCACTTTCGGCTCGACTGCTGTTGACATTTACCCCATGACCCCCTCTTCAAGCCCTCAAGTGTCGTAGAAATGCGTGTGTGTGAATGTCTGGTGGGGCATCAAACTAATTTTCCCCCTGTTTAGAGTTCTTGAACGTGACACAAGTCTGCACTCGGGCCACGCCCACTCCCCCGAGGGCCGCCCCTTTGGGTTATTCGCACTGCCTTGGCTTGGCTTCGACAGGCATTCGAGTGTCTCTGGCCAGTGGTTTTCAACTGATTTGAAATCATTTTAACCCAAATTGCATACAATCGAGTTTGCCGGGAGGCGGCTTCCCGACATCCCGACATCCTGTCCGCACACTCCTGCCGAGGGGAACACAAATGTTTGTGTGTGATTGAAATGCCTTTCTCTGGTCCGAGTTTGGGTTTCGGCAGTGGGTCCCCTGCCTTCCAAAGGCGTCGATACGCCCTCCTTGCAGCTGCAAATGCTCCACAATTGGGCGCTCGCAATCTAATCTGTGATGGGATTAGGCTAATGGATTACGGCCGGGTAGGTGATTCTAAAAGCGAGAACTCCTCGGGCGGAGAAAGTGTTAACAGAAATGAGAGAAGGATTAATTTGGTGAATTTTCGATTTTTGTGGTAACCAATGCCTTAACATAAGGTAAATATTTAAAGAGATTGGTAATAGAATGTTATTGTGGGGCCACGAAAGGTATTAAAACAAATATAATAAACAGATTATATTTAATTTATGAAAAAATATAATTTATTAATTGAAGTTTGATTAATACTTTACATTTAAATTAAATTAAATTAAACGACTGCTAAAAGTATAAACGAGCAATAGGAAATGCATTTTTTTCATTAAGAAAAAACGTGTAAATACACTTTAACAATCCATTTGTTGTTAATCCTTTTTTTGCACCTCCGCGCTTTTAATAATTGCCTCAAGCTGGGGCGAAAAAAGAAGATTCTCAAAAGATTTACATAGCAAACTAACTTTTTGCAACTACAATCATAATTACAACAAGAAGCCCAAGTCCCTTCCTCCATTTTCCCCGAAGGCATTAGGGGAAAAACTTTTTACATTAACCGAAGTGCGGCTATTAAAAATTCATTAATTGCAGGCAAATGCATAAAAAAGCAACAAAGTCGAGGCAAAAATTCGCTGGAAAAGTTTAATTGATTTGTGAGCGCCAAAATGGTAAAATAATTGATAGATGGCGAACGGGATGAATTGAGGAAACAGCGAGAGGGAAAATCTCTAATGAGAATGCCCTGCAGCGAAAGTTGAAAAGTTGTATTTATTTTGAACACCATTTTTTCATATTTTATTCGCCACTATTTCTATTAATTAGAAAACTTTTGCCGCACAAGCGGCAAATCAAATTTTTTGTGAATTGAATTTGCAATTTCGAATGGGCAACCGGAAAATGGCAAATGGATAGTGAAAAAGTGGTGAACTTGTCTCGGCAATAAACGAGCAAGTATTACACATATTTCATCAACAATTTGAACGTCAAAGTAATTGAAAACGCATGCATCGATGGTGGCCAAAAGCGAATTGCAATTTTGTACGTAGCCAAAAATCATATTGAGGCCACTCAGCTATGTTGCTGGAAAGCCGCAATATAAATTTGATGGCCAGTTTAGCTTCGTCCCCCTGGATACCAAAATGCAATGGAATCCCAGGCAACTCAACGCATTTGGCCAGCAGTTTAATTACCATTTTCGACGCAGCGAGTGGGAAATGCGAGGAGCATGTGCTATTTTCCAGCAATTTTCCATCGTTAACGAAGAAATAACAATGGCAGTTGCCAATTATATTTCCGTATTTATTCCTACTCGAATTTCCTTGAAATCCCTTTCAATTATGCTTTGATGGATTATGCAAAATATTATTTTGTGAAACGAAAGCATTAAATTACAATTTAAAGTTATTTGAAAATTCGTCATTGTTATTAAATCAGTCATTCAATTGTCTTTATGGCAATTTCTTGAATTATTTCAGGAGTATATTTATGATTTAATTAAAGATTTCGGTGGCTCGACTTTTATAAGAAAGCATAAGGAAAACACAATTGAAATTAATGCCTACAAATCTCAGTTATTATTTCCAGCCACGAAAATACCAACTCTGTCCACAGGGTCGGAAAAATTCTCTGAGCCAAGACAAAGAAGTCCGGTGCACAAAATCATCATTGCTGCTGCTCACTAAATTATGCAAAATTGTACAATTATGTTAATTAATTGACGCAGCCAGCCAGGCACTCCCACTACTGCCCCTTGGCCAATTAGCGCCATAAAACGCAGGCCAAGCGATTGCCAGGGATTTTATTTCGGGCTCCCAGTCCCAGAAAGGCAACAAAAATGGAGGGCGAAAAAAGAAAACAAAAAAAAAATATACGAGTGCCACGCCCAGTCGCTTGTTAACCTTACATAATTAGCAACAAAAATGTTCGTTGTGTTTAGAACAAAAGCGCAGCGCATTGCAGAAATTTCCGCAGTCCCTTTCGGTCTCCCAAAAATCTGCCAACTGGCTTTATTAATTCCATAATTCAGCAGAGGCAGCGCGGTTATTATGCGAGAAGTCGGGAGCAAAGCCGTAGTCCCCTGTCTGGGCTTAATTATTGGAAAATTAATGAAACTGCCATGTTAGATGTTTTCACATTTCCCGTGTTTTCCACGTTTCGCATGATTAATGGCCATTAAAAATGAATGAGGTGTGGGCGGAATGAGCGATGGGGTTATCTTTTGTATTTTGTGCCCTCTTTGTCTAGTGGGAAAATGTAATTCATTTTTAAATTTTAGTTTAGGGGAACATTTTGTACTTTGAAAACTGCTCTGACGACGTATATTAACCTTTCTCCTTTTAGGAGAGCAATATAAATACTTTGAACAGTTCATATCAACTTTCCCTCTGATTTTGTTATGATTTTTATTGGTCAGCTGAAGCTTGAGCACTTGAGCAAACGTTTTTTAAAGTTTAACAAAAGTTGGGACATGTTTTATTTATACAAGTTAAAGAAAGACATTTTATAAAAACCGCTGTGTTCAAATTAAGGATAAATGCATTTGACACAGTGAACGAAACACCTAATAAATTTATAAAAAATTTCCACAAAGGGAATTTGCAGATTCGGTGTCTGTGGATGTGTCAACTGTGCATTTATGTGTACCAATAAATATATCCATGGTGCATATTTGCCGGCAGGTAGCCCACTTTCATATTTCATATGCACCACCAAAGGTAAATATTTGCACTTGTAAATGACATTCACGTCTGCCAATCTGCCCCCTCTCCCCCGACGCCTCTGGCCCATATTTGGGCTCTTTGTTTTTGTTTCTTCAATTGCTCCACTTTATGTTTGAGCTCTGTGGGACTTAAGGGGGTAGAGGGGAGGAGGGGTTGGGGCGCAGAGTGACAGGGGGTAGTGACATTTTTTCACAAAACCCCAAACATATTGCGGGCGTCGTGTATATTTCTCATAAATCGGCTTAAAAAGCGAACGTAAAAAGGGAGCCGCAAAAGTGCATTTGTTTGCCGTGCACCCCTGAATCAGACATCATATCTCAAACCATGACCCCTTGGGGTCACACACTCGTACACTCGCCTTCTGCGTAAGCAATTTCACGCAGTACATAAAGCCTTTCATATTTCACATTTCATTCCAACTGCAGGCGAACCGAGTTGCCCGGAGATGAGTTGAGGAGTACACTCTGCTTGACTTATTTTTAACGTCGTTAGTTGCGTGGGAAATCCCCGATACGAAAGGGTATATTCGATTTGGCTTGCAGTGGCTTTGAATACCTTTAAAACTGCATCAATATGATCTGAAGTTAACTAAAAATATCAATTAAACTTATGTTATTATTGTCGAAAACTGTTTTAAGAAACAAACAATTTCTCTTGTTCTGTCAATAATGAAATACAATGTTTCAGGACATTTAAGATGATTGAAACAAAATTTAGAAGTCTTTTACAAACTATAGCCCACATTACCCTTACATATATTATGCTATGGATAGTATGCCATTTATATCTTGATAATGAGCCTTAATAAGGTTAAAACTATAGTTTTGGTTAAACAAATTCTTAAAATAGTAGTAATCAACGGATTCTACATTTTTTATACCCATTTGTGAATCCATTTTAAAACTTTTTTCACTAAAATTGGGTTAAATAATTTGCTCAACAGATTCTGTTCAGATTTTTATACATCTTCTACTGGGTAACTTCTGGTTGCGGCCACTTCTCTTGGCCGATTTGTGTTATTTGTGCTCCTCTGGCCACTTGTTGTATGATGGTTGTGTTGCCTTGTTTTGTCTGTTGTCGCTGTCAGTGTCAGCTGCTGAGATTTATGAAGTGCAACATGCCAGGACTGAAGATTGAGGGAGAAAAAGATTGAGCGGCGTGAAAAGCTGAGGGGAGAATTTATCTGCGCCTGCAACCCGACTGCGCTCCTCCCACTTTAAATCCTTGTCAAGGCCTCGTTATTTAGGGGCTCTCTGATAAAGCCTTGGCCCACTTTTTCAAGTAGCACTGTGAAATCAAAATGCTTTCTTAAATATCCCTCAGCTTTTCAAAGTTCAAAATGGGGTAAAGGTCAAGAAGGAAGGGGCACTTTCATTATCATATAACTTCGAGCAAAAGGGAGGATGAAAAATTATGCAAAGCGAAGATTGTGTAATCAGCGTTAATGAGGCAGGAAAAAGGGGTCCTTTCCCGCTGATTTGGCTAATTCAATCCGATTTTCACCAGCCAATTTGCCCCTTAATGATGACTAACAGTGTTTAATTCCCTCTTAAATAGCCATTTCCTTTTGCTTTTTTAATTTTAGCTAGAAGCGACCCGCAGGACGATGCGGAGGTGATTAAAGTGCCCACTCGGCCCGATTCTGAACCGGATTTCCATAACTTCCGCGGTGTCGTCGATACGGGCGCCGGTAATCCCTTCTTCCAGCCGAGTCCTTCCAGCTTCAACGTGGGCTTCTTCGACTCCTTCGATGGTGAGTGCTATGCGTCACATGCGGCGTATGCGTGATGTTGCGCTTAATCGGCTTGAGAATTTTTAATGATATTTTAATTAAACAATATTTTAATGTGGCCTCAAAAAAACGTATGCGACGCAATTACATGTCTCGAATGCATTTAATGTCGCCATTATTATTCTGCTTAACGATGATTGAGCGGTTGTCGTATTACGTATACGCAATATTAGAGTAGGAGCGGATAATAACAATATTGGAAGAGAGTTTGTCATTCGATTAAAAATTTAATTACATTTTAAAGTTAGATACTATTTGGGATAGTTACAAAATGGTTTAAGCTCAATACATCATTACAAGGTTGGTTACTATAGATTTTTCTGTAACTAAAATATATTTTATCTTTATAGAGAGCATTAAAATATTCGAGTATATCTTTATTATTTCTGGCCATGGTTCAAAAGCACTTCCCCTGAGTCTGGCCAATTAGCCAACTGTCCTTTGGGTACTTTTAAACTTTTCCATCTCTATTTCCGCTCACTCCCATCCCCATTTTGTGGAAGTGAAATGAAAAACAATTTATCAAAATATTATGTCAAGTTCTTGTAGCCAGACAAAGTTTATTTATTCCCTTGTATTTATTTCTATATTTACGAGGGGTCGAAGGGAGTGGCAGGGAGTAGGTCAAACCAGTCTGTTGACCATTAAAAGTGAAAAGTTTTGCGCCTCGTCTTGCCAATTTCTGCCTAACTAAGACCGTAAGACGAAGCTGAAACTTCATAAATCTTATCCTAATACGTTCTAGGGGTAGGATAAAAACTTGCCAAAGCCCTGGGCATTGTGTATGCATAAAAGTTGTAATATTCTTTGTTGTTCTATTTTTTGGGTTGGGCATGGTAGACTGTTGGGGGTCAACGATAACGAAGCGTAGAAAATGGTAGAAAATGGCATATAGACAAATAGAAAGTTGAGCGTTGCGGCGGCCAGCGAAGTTTCTTGTCAGCGAATTATGTTCGTTATACTAGCAGCAGTTTCTTGGTTGGGTAAAACCAAAAAAGAGAAATTCATCATAATGCTCATTCTTAAAAGATAATAATACAATCCTTTAAAGTGAAGAAATTTAAAACTGTTTTCGTTTGGAGAACTATTTCACGCAGCTATTTAAACGCATTAAAATGCAGCAGGCAAATGAACTGGCGACAAGCGGCAATCAGCAACCAGGCCAAAACAAAGTCGTGCAAACAATGCGGTCAAGAATTTATGACAAGGTTGGAGAGAACGCAAAAAAATCGACTAGAAAAGGCCAAAGAACTAAGTCGAAGATAGACATACTCGCAGAGCAATAAGAAAAGGGGTTGCAGTCGGGGGTTGGGGATTACAAAAGTGCAGACAAGAAAATGACGGAGACGCCGGCGACACAGAAAACGCTTTTTAGTGCGTTTACGGATTAGGGATTTTCAAACTGAAAAATACATTAGCATGAGACAGAGGCGACAACGGAATGTCTTTCGTTTCCCGAGGATTGGGATTGAGACTCAAGGGAAATTTTGTGGACCAGTCTAGACCAAGGACACCTGCTCCGATTCCCACCGGGTCTCTTGAGCATCTGTTTAAATTTTTTTGTTTTAAAATATTTGGGGTGCCCTTTACTGGTTCCTGCAACTATTGAAAATTTAATCATCAAAGGGGTGATAGCTTCAATTTTTAAATTTGACATAAAAAGTTCTTTATAAAGGATTATTCTTTAAGAATTAAAGCTTTTAAGTTAGAGTTTAGATTCGTCTTTTAGCCTTGACACCTTTTCACAACAAGCAAAGTAAAGTTTTTTTATTCATTATAATATTTAAAGAACAAATAAATATATGTTTTATAATATTTTTGAACAAATGCAGAAATGAATGATTAGATTATTAATTTTAATTTTAATTTTTGCTATAAACCAGATCTTTTCCGTCGTCTGCGCACTCGCATTTGGCCTGTGATTGGCAGCGATTCTAGTGAGGATAGAGCTCCTGCAGCTGACGATTCCAGCGATGAACCTGGCAGTGGCTTTGCCTTTGGCCTGCGACCCTTGATTCCACTGAACCCCAACAAGGCCAACACTACTTCCACTGTTAAGGTAAGGATTAGCACCAAAAAATACCTTATATATTATATATTAATCATTAAGTTTTAATATCTAAATTTGTGTTAATACGAATTAAACCTTTTCTGTATATTATATATACTATATATATTAATAAATCCTCTTCCCCTTTAGGTCGTCGATGGCCACAAGGTGGAGATCAACGAGACGGTTTACGGGGACAGCAACAGTGTGTTCAAGGTTCGCTTGGTGAACGTGCGTCCCTTGGAAAGTGGCGAGGAGGTGGCCCAGGGAGTGCACACCAACGGGGGCGACTTCCAGCCTGTTTTGGCCCCCAGCACCTCCGCCCCTTCCACCAAGGGGGGTGAGTTCGACGAGGAGGACGACGACGATCGCCGCGAGCCGCTGGAGAAGCAGCCGGAGGACAACGAAGTTCGCGACATCGATGAGCCCAAGGTATAAATATATTTTCGACAAAGAAACGAACTTTCTTTGAAACACACACTTAACCTGGAAATGCTTGGCAAGCGCTCTACTAACCAATAAAAAAAGCGATTTGTATAATGAGATCTTTTATGAACTTGTAATATACCTAAATACATATTTCTATTTCTTTTTTAAATAAAGTTTTCCATAAAACTAAGCAATACAAACTGTACATATATATATTTTGGAATGCCTGCGTTTATTTTAAAAATACTAAAAGTTATAACATCGCAAAATGCAACTGAAATAAAATCTTATTGGTGACTTGGTTTGGTTGTGGTTTGCTTTTAGTTTTTTATCACTTCTGTTTTATTAAAGCTTTAATTTGATAGTCATAGTGTTTATTTTTAATTGCATCGCCTTTTTTAGTTGCGTTACTGTATAATTAAGTTTTGCTAATTTGTCAGGTCAATAATCTGTTCAAACCGCAATCGTAAATATTTCATTAACACGACAAAATGTTTAATTGTACAATTAGATGGTTTTTTCTTCCTTTTTAATATCGTTCCTGCAGTCATGTAATATTCATTTTGGTTCATTGGATTTGTGAGTAATTTTATCCTTTTTTTCGATGGCATTGCATAGCATCTAAATTAATAATGCAAACAAATTATAGTTTGTGGCCATAGCAGAAAAAAAATCAATGTAACAAAATATTATGCAAATGTGTAGATAACAAAAAAAAAAAAATAATGTGATGAGAGACAAAAATATTTCTGAATTGTGTAGTTGACAGATAGAAATATGAGTTCATCATGGCAAACTTTATGCAAGAAGAGTTTGGGATTGTTTGATATTTGTTTACAATATGAGAGTTATTTTGGCTTATTAAAAATATAAATAAAAATATAGTAACTAAGAAGCATTGATTTATTTCTGAAATTTAATAGAATTAAAATTAAATTGAATACAAATGAACGGCCACTAAAATCATTTACATTTTATGTTACTTTTATAATAGTAATACTTGAAATAAGAAGGATTGCTCAAGATACCAAAAAAATATATTAAAAACGTTTTACCATTTGAGTAACCTCTCATAAATAAAGAACTTAAATTAAATCAGGTTCACACTTTAATCTATGTTAAATTTCGGATTAAAGTACATTAATATTTTGCTTCCTCTCGACTGCGTTTTCCTCGATCGGAGCTATATAAAATATGTGCATTTTCCCACCCATCATTTTCGCACCCTTTGGGCAATTTACCGTTTCTTCAGCGGTACATGCATCATATGCGACAATTTTTCTTTGCGTTTTTGTTGCAAGTCCATTAATTACTTTTAGGCCATAATAAAAATTAATTTTTATTAAAAGTCATGCGCCCCGCTCGCATAAATCCTTGTCTTGGGCGTTGGCCCACCGTTTGGCGGTGGGCGTGGCAGTTGGGCAAAGGGGGCGGAGGGGGCGATGAGGGCTGTATTTATGAGAATTTATTGTGGCGAAATCGACGAGTGCCGGTTGGATAAATTTTTTGTTGCTCTCTGCGTGCCGCATAAATCAGCGGGAAATTAATAAATGACCGTAAAAAAAATTGCAATGCGGCGTAAAGCGCAATTATTAACAACTTTAAAGTTGTAAGTGACATGTCAACGTTTAAATACGCAAATTTAAATTTAAATAATGCCAGCGGTGACATTTTCGTACCCGCAACGGAAGCAAGAAAAATGGAAACTATTCGCACAAGTTGCGAATTGCATTCGATTTGTTTTTATATTTCCATTTTAATTTTTTGTATGTCCAACTTTATTTTTCATCTCGCGCGGATATTGAAAGTTGTGGTTTGTGTGTAGGGATGTGTGTGTTGTGTAGGGTGTTGTGGGCGGCCTGACTTCTCATGCGTTTATTTGAATTTAATATTCATGGTTATAAATATTAATACACACGGAAGGGAGTGCCAGTGAAGTTGGTGAGGTAGGGGTGCGTTCATAACTCCTTTTCCAGCTGGATTGAAATATTGAAAAATTGTTGAAGGCTGTTAAACAATTTGGCGATTGCAACTTCTGCAAAAAGCTGTGCCATAATCCAACACACAAACGACTGACGATTTTTATTAATATTTTTGCATTGAAAAGCGTACAAACAGCAATGCAAATGCAGATAATTCACAGATGAGAACTTGCAAACTTTTGGCAGCTGCATTCAAATTGCTTTTCATTTCAAAATTGAACAAAAGCATTTGCAGATGTACACACTTAAGGGGGGAAATACAATTAGAAGGCCTGAAATGAGGGCTATCTTTGGGAGTGGATTGCAAGAAGGGTATTAAATGAATCTTAGTGATTCTTTTTGCATGTTATTAGGTAATTATTGAGCAATAAAAGTCAGTCAAGTTTTTTGAAAAATATTGTAATTAAGCCCATTTATGATCAATAATGTAGAGTCGTGTTTTTAGGGAAGGACTTTGCGCCGTGCAGTCTCCAGGTCCAGGATCACGACTTAAACAAAAAACAGCAACTGGGCTTTAAACTTAAAGCTACCGCGCACACCATGAATTAAACCATATTTTAAAAAATTATTTTTTCATTAAAAAATTTTAGGTTAAAAAAAATTTCAAAAAAACGATTTTTTTTGACTTTGATTGTAAAAAAAACATGTTATAACAAACAAATATGAAAAACCGTTATATTCATGGTGTGGAGAATTTAATATCAAACATAATGCAAAAAACCGCATTCGATTAAAATAAAATCTCTGAGCTGTACATTGCACGGCGACTTTGAAAACACGACTTTTCAGGAGAAGCGTTTAAAGTTTACTTTTGTGCATGCCCGCCATATGACACACCCTCACTAAATTGCGTATAACTCTGAAAATAAGTACCGGACGGCTTTATCCTTTTAAAGGCTTATTCCCAGATATATTTGGAGTACATTAAGCCAAAAAAATTTTTCGAAAAAAAAATTTCTAATTGTATTTCCCCTTAAGATAAAATATTTAGCTATTTATTATTAATAATTATTATTATTAATATAATTATTGTATTTATAATTTTTATTATTTATATTATTAATTATTAAATATGCCTTAAGTATATTTAAAATACATATAGCATTTTTTCAAGTTAACGAACACAAAAAAATTTAAAAGGGGCTACTAAAAGAATTCATTTGTGGGTAATGACAGTTGCATTTTTTGCTTTTTTAAACCGTGCGGAAAGTAAATCACCGAAAATGTTTTGAGTCACCCAAACGATACTTATCCATCACCTTTGACAACCATAGAAATTCACTTCGCTGTTCAATCAGCTTGAATTCTTGAGAAATTCTAAGGAAACAGAAGATGTGACTCAGTAGCAGTTAATCTGCATTAATCGCTGAAGTAAGTGAGCCCTCGTTTTGTCTCTCTTAAACCCCAATTTAAATTATTACTTTGTGTTAAATCATCTTGAAAAAATGCTTTACCTTAATGACCCCATCGAACCAAATAAGTACAAAATCATATTATTAATATAAATTTCTAAGAAAATGCTACCGAACGTAGAGTAAAATGGCAAAAAATAGACTTATGACGTCACAAGACAAGAGTGAGACGCAATGAGCTGTCTGCTGATTAAACAGCAAGCAAGGTGACTCACGAGGTGGTCACTTCAAAACAAGCGAAAATAATGAATGAAGGAACTATTAAGAGAAGAGTACTTTAAAGAGAGGAGATAAGAGCTCCTCAAGATATTTCTGTAAGCTTCCGTAAGCTAAGCTTTCATACTGTCGTTATCTCTTTCACACTCGTTTTGAAGCCGTTAGTGATAAGCTGATGTTATTCAGACTCTCTCTTTCACTCAATCTCATCAACTGTGTTCTCTGTCCATGTTACGAATTTTATAAAAGCGTAAGATCGACTTGACAGCAGCTTAGTTCAAAATTTAAAGCGGGGTTCAACCATTGTGAGTTTTTACTGGTCTAAATATCGAAAATATTTAGCTACATTATTTAGAATACCTGATCATTTTTGTAAATAAACCTTTTTATTAATCGTGCCTAATTTCATTGTTGTGACACATTCTCTATTTAAAAATATTCAAATCTGCTATAAAATTGAATTAAAAGGATGAAACACTACATATAAGTTGAAAACATATAAAAATAAAAATTATAAATACATTTATATATTTACATTTTCAAAATTACTAAACTTGGAGCATCTGGCCTCTGGACCTTAGTGATTTAATTAAACCATTTTAATTTTGCACGATGGCACGGCATTTGATTTTAACCATTACCCAACGCACCGATTGGCCCTAAAACCATCAAACATTAACTAAAATTTTATTTTATCTATTTCGCACACACGCACACATAACGCACTCTAAAATCACAAACACGATGCACAGTCCACAACACCAACAACAACAACAACAAGTTCTACAACACAACAAACCATCAGCTCGCCCGCAGACTCAGAATCTGAAGCTTCAGATATCAGTGAGGAAATAATGGAGACTCTCTCGGAAGAACAGAAGAAAACCATGGATCAACTGCAGGCAATGATGGCATCCGTGCAGAAGGATTTGGATCAGGATCACGAGGACAAGGAAGCCTTGGAGAAGAAAGAGAAGAAGGAGCGGGAAGAATTCGACTCCTCCGATGACGAAGATGGCGAAGCTACAACTCCTGTCATGATGAGCGAAACATTCAACGATGAGTGGGCCGAATTTGAGCAGGATCCAGATCAGGATCAGAGTCAGGAGGCAGATCATGATCCCGAATTTGACCTTGAAAACGATCTGAACAATGAGATCGATATCGAGGAGAACTTTGTGCCCATCGACCTGTCCAATGATATCGCAGTCAATGATCAGGCTGCCGCAGATCCCAATTTCCCGCATAATCCCGATGCTGAAATTATAGTGGGTCCATCAGTCATTGGAACCATGCCCATGTTCGAAAAGCTTTCTTTGGAAGACTCTTCAAAGTAAGGGGTGAATGTCTCCATTTAGAATAGGCATTGTCTTTAATTTTAACTCACTAGTCTTAAATACTTCATCGAGGATATCTCTGAGAGATCCAAAGAAATCGGCATTCTCTACAACCGTAATTTATCGTATTTATTTCGACGGAAAAACAGTATAAGGTGTGAATTTATTTATAGAAATGAAATACAAAAATTTAATAATAAATGATAAATTTTAAAAATGAGTTCAATGTTTAAGTATTATCTATAACTCAGTAAGAAAATAAAAGTAATAAAAAATATTTAAATTTATTGCATACATTTTTAAACTGCGATGTTCGTTCCATTAAATAAAAAAGGACTAAAACCCAAGAGCTTTTTTAAACCGTTTAAAAAGTGGCTTTCAATCAAAACAATTCTGGCCACCATACTTTTTTTTATACAACGTGTATTGAACAGATGAATAGCTTGAATAATTTCACAGAGCTTTTAAATCCTGAACAAAAGTTCTGCATATTTTCAGGCTAAAGAACAACTTTCCGACTGAAATTCCACTGATTTAAATTGAATGCTGGTATAAATTCTGTATAGGCATTATATGCCTCATTAGTTCTCTCTCGGCATTAAAAAAACGACTAGTTAATTATTTTTTCCGTACTATGCATTGGGGTAATTAATTGTGGTCAACTTATGGTTAACTTAATTGCCTGTTATTCTTTTGTCAAACAAAACCATGGGGCTATAAGAGCATATTAATTGGTGAATTATAATCAAAAAGCAAAAAACCAATATATTTATATCTCATTTTGATAACATTTACCTTTGGCTCAATTTAAATACATTTTCTGAAGGTGGACGCCGAAAAAATAGTTAAGAATTAACAATACAATCCGTCAACGAAAAAATTAATTGTTGATATACTTTCTTTATGCGTTTAATATCGAAAAGTGAGTTTCATTTGTCTTTTACATATCTTCGTGTTGAAATATTGCCTTTGTTTGCAGAAATCAAATTAAAAATCGTGTATTTCAGGCTTGGCGTTTAATGTGCTGTTTGTTTTGCTACAGTGAAAACGCAATAATTAAACTAGTACTAAGGCTTTACCGAGCACCTTTTAGTTAGTTGATTTTAAATTGAATCAGTATTTTTTCCAATTATCCAAATTGGGTAAGATTTATAGCAATGTTATCTTTTAAATTTCGTCGGTCAAGAAGGTTATTCCTGTTTAAGTTTCATGTCCCTTGAAATCATATGTGGCCGACATGTTTGTACATTACAACCAGAGTTGCTATCATCATCATCAGCATCACTGTCAGAGCAACCCTGCGAATAAAGGATGTTAACTGTTTTTGAGCTCATCGGGGTGTGGGTAAAAGGCATATCGGTAATTATGGCTCCTGTGCTCTCAATCCGTGATTCTCCTGTTCTGGATGGAACAGCTTTCGGGTCCTTTCAAGTGGACTCCTCACCTGCGTGTTGAAGGGTTTATTTTCCCATCCCCATCTGAACGAACAGCCTTTGTGTGTTTGCTTTGGCCGGTGCAATGATTGCAACTTTTCAATTTGTATTTACAAAAGCGAAACAATGCAAAGCATATAAATGCGTCTGTCTGTATAAATTGTGCTTTATATGCCTGTATCGTTCGTTCGTTTAACAAATTTGAGCTGTTAACAAAGCGGAATATCTTGGACTTCTTGGTGATTTAAAATCACTTAAGCAGATTTATTTCAATTTTTGTTTTCTTTTTTGAATACTAATAAAATGGGCTTTAATTTTCTTGAAATTTAACAGTGAAAGAATTTTATTCTCATATATATTAACAATTAAAGCTGGCCAATAAATTCGTCTGTTAGATTTGTATATTTACTTTTCTATTGTTACCATTTTTAACCATGTTGAGATAAATACATCCACTATTTTATGTACGTGATTCACAAGTCCTTTTTTTAGCAATGCACCAAAAAAAAAACTATATGACTCAAATTGGGTGCTCGAAAGTAAACTACACCAGAAAATTATAAAACAAAAAAACAAATGACAAAAAAGACTTGACAAATAAACAAGCTTTTTGGATTAAGAATTTTTGTGGCAGTTTATTTTCTCTTTTGTAGCTAAATTAGTCGGTTTGTTTAGCAGACTCTTTCGCTTGGGGTTTTAATTTCTTTATGCCTTTGTTGCCAAATGTGGAAATAGATGTGTAAAGGTGTAAAGTGGAGGCGTGTGGAATAAAGGGTTAAGCGCACAAAGGAGTCACGGGTTTGGCAGAGATTAGCGCTCGGTTCTTGTGGTTTTACCAGTTGGTTTTAGTCTTGCTTTGGAGGAGTAGAAGTTAATTAATTTTCGCTTATTTGATTGCTAGCCAGGTAAAATCTGTGTACATTATAAAGGGTAGAGCATTTCAGGTTTAATAAAAAAAAAAACAAATTTTAAGGTGAAAATTTAAGATCCCGATTATTTCTTAGATTTCTCCTTCTCAACGCGTTTTAGAATATCATCCATGTTGGTGATTAACTTTTCTAAAATTTCCTCCAGAAGACCCACACGGTTAGTCAAACTAAAAGTGGACCAATTAATAGGGTTTTAGATTATGTAAATTATTTATGTTCTTACCGAACCATATCAGGGTTCTCTCCCGCAGGAACATCCTGAAAGAAGCGGGCTCTAAAAATATAAAATAATTGGTAATTAGTTCAACAGAAGAAGGGTTTTTCCACAATCGTACTCTGCGGGTGTCATGTGCTTCCTCGTTTCCTGGGGCATTTCTTGCACGGGTTCGGGGACCGCATCCTTTTCCTCCACTTCAGGTGGCGGGGCTTGAGGTCGACGCTTTCGACCACAGTGGGTGATCCAGTAGAGCATATTCGCGAGTTTCTTATAGATATAGGAGCCCAAGTGACTGCGGCCTTGTGTGATTTCGCTCTTCACTGAGTTGTAGGTCTCCATTATAATTGCAAGGAACATGTTCTAAATTAAGAGAGTTGATGAAAAGAAAAAAGGAATAAATAAATTATATGTTTTCTGAGAACATTTGCTTTTCCAACTTACCAACAAAATAAAGAAGACAAGCAGAATATAAGTCAGGAAGTAAATGGGACCCAGAACTCGATTCGCTTGTTCAATTAGGTTGTACTGAAAGTCGCCCAGAATCATTCTTATCATGGTCAAAATCGAGGTTATAAAGTTACGGAAGTCCGGGTGCTTTGTTCCAAATAATAGAAGACCCAACTGGGCATAGGCAAGAAACACGATGCCAAACATTAAACTGAAACCGGCCAAGTCCTTGGAGCACTACAAGATATATAAATTTATAGTTTTTTAAGTTTTGTTTTTTTTTAGGTAATATATCAAACCCTTTTTAATGTGGTAGTGAATTGCACGAGTGTCTTGTTGAAACTGATAAACTTAAATATTTTAATCCACACAAGAAAAGCCAGAATTGCCATCATATCCACATAAATTATATTCCAGAAACACAGTATATCCAGACTTTGGTATGTCAATTCCACTTTGGCTTTATCGGTGACTGAATTAATTTTAAAAAAATGCCAAATATTATAAACCAAGGCAAGGTAACAACACTGAAAAAACAGATTGTGAGTTAAAGAAATAGGTAAAGGATAATCAATCAAAACCTCACCAGTAATATAGCACAATCGAGTATGTTTAACATCGAAAGGATGTAGTTTTTGAATCCGGACTTGAGAAGTTCGGTGATTTCATAGATGGTGTAGTAGATGATCATGATATACCAGAAAATGTAGATCACGGTCATCGGCATACTGCGGTCCGTGAAAAAGGAATAATGTTTTACAGTTTGCAACTGGGCCTGGGGAATTACTCCGCCAGTGGGCGGAATCTCCGCTATTAATCTGATAGATTATTCTTACTTAAATACTGGACAAAGAAAGGGTTTTCAAACTCACTTAACACTCTGAAAAATATCCGTGTTTTCGTTATACAAATTAAACTCAACCAGACAGAGTCGAGAGCCCCGATCCAGCCAGTGGATGTCCTTCAGATGGCTGATCGTTTTCAGGTTCTTGTTTTTGTCGTAGTCCAACTCCACCGTGTACCCTCCGGTGCGGTAGAAGGCCAGAGTTGTCCAGAGGGGCGTGGTGTCCAGGTCGCTCATTGTTTTGTAGGAAGATCCCTTGTAGTTCGACGTTCGCTCCTCCGCTCCGGGGGAATATGCCGCATAGCACGTGTTGAAGTACCGGACAAACGCGTCGTTCACGTAGCAGCTCTCCTTTCGCACTCGGATTTGCCGGATGCGCGGCGGACCCAAAAGCAGGTTTTCGTATAGGAAAACGCGACCCTAGAAAGCAAAAGGAATTAACAACTTGGTTAAAATTCTTCAAAGTTCTATGGATGAATTTTATAGTGCAAAAAGATCTTGCGGTGATTTAACTTAAAATTAATTTTTTGATTTATTATAGCACATCCACTTTCACCTAATAAAAAAAAGAAACGTTTATTTAGCATTGGCATAGTTTTTTTAGTGCCTTCAATCACCGCAAGGTTTATATAGTATTATAAAGTATACAAAATAATGTTTTATTCTTTTTTTAAACTCGAAACACTTTTAAACCTAAAGATACTTTTGTAGACCTACCTAGCATGACACGATTAACTTTATAAATATAAATAGGGGTATTTAAATTGACCAGAAAAAACAAAGTGACTTTCATAGCCTGTAAATATCTTTGAACTCGAGTGCTTTCACTTTCACCCACCTCCAGATGATGTCCAGTCGTATTGTGAGGCCTAGTTGGCTGCTTGTCGTCGCCCCCACATCCTGGCTGCCTTCCCCAGCATTTTCTGGTGCTTGTCGGATCTTGCGGCCTTCGTCATCGTCTGGCTCCTCGCCCTCTTCGTCCTCATCCGGCGATCCTTCCTCAGGGACCTCCTCACCTGGCACAGGTGGCGGCTTTGCTTCCCCAGGAACATCCGTTGAATTATCCGCTGAATTGCCGTCCATGAACGTCATATCGCCATGGAGTGTTATCAGAAAGTTATAGATCAGGTAGTCCCACCAATCCGGCACAGTGATCAGCTTCTCGAAACTCACAGTAACCGAAGGTGCAACGACCATTTCGCGGGTCGTGAATAGCTTCTTCATCGTGTCGTTGAAGTAGAACATGTACGAGTGACGGACGGACAGAACGACTGTGGGTTACAGGTGGTAAATAAATTTGTTTAAAAGGTTAACACTTATTATTTCTAACTAAATAAATATGTGAATCAGATGATCCTTTTAAAAGGTAAATGCAAAAGAACATTTACATTCCTAAACATTAAATATATAGTATAAATATAAAATGAATAGATATGTTTAATTGTGTATATATTAAGATTGGAGTATAGAGATTCTTCTGTAATTTGGTAGCTGTACAATTACTGCAAAGGGAAAGTCATTAAAATTCCAGATCCTATCTAAATAAGTTCTAACTATATGGATATGGGATTTATACATTTTTGTAATGAAATCTCCTTTGAAGGAACTCCTACTGTAGCGCTGTACTGGCGAATAAACTTTCTGCACTCACCCAGTGATGTCAGGATCAGGAATATGATAAACACGGAAAACTCGATGAGGGCCTCGCGCACCTCCTCATCGGTTGTGTAGAGGATGCGGTTCGTTTTGGCCCTGTTCTGGAGCATTGAAGGTCCGCTTAATGATTGGGGCCTCCGTTCAGCGCTTCGTCTCTGCGGATTTTCTGGGGTAGCGCTTTTCTTCTTGCCCTGAAATCTATCCCACAGAGAAGGCTTTTTCGAAGCACTGGTGTTTTGCCTTCCGCTTTTGGCATCTTGACTTCTGCTTTTGGCGTCTTGACTTTTGCTTTTGGCGTCTTGACTTCTGCTTTTGGCAGAAGTGGATGGTTGGGCTCCCTCAAAAGTTATGTGCTGTGACGCCAGCACACCGGCATCACTTTTCTTTGGGGACGATGACGGATCGGTAGCCTGAGTGCTAGTTCGTCGAGTCTCGGGTGCCGCAGTACTGGCTCGAAGAGAACTCGGTGCACTGGAATCGGGTACATTTGTCCGGGGAGTTGTCGATGCTCCTGGATCGGTAGTACTCGCCCGGGGAGTTTTGGATGCTCCTGGATCGGGGGTACTTCCCCGGCGAGTTGTTGATGCACCGGGACCGGAAATACTTGCCCGGGGAGTTGTCGTAGGGGCTGCTCTTGCAGGAGTCGTCGCTTCCGAAGCTCCGGAAGTCCGTACCGGTGTCGATTGAGCGGAATCCTTGACTGCTTTTTCAGGTGCTGGCTCGCGAACGCTTGTCCTGGGGGTCGTTCCTATTCCGGTGGAGCGTCTTGTCGCCGGCGGAGGAGGCGCAGGAGGAGGAGCATTTCGAGCCGGAGTCACATCGCCCGGAGTTGGGGCCGCAGAACTCGCACGAGGAGTCGTGGCCGGAGGAGCCCTTGGCGGGCGGGGCGGAGGCGATCCTGGCGGTCCACCCCCGGACCTTTCACCCTGCTGTGCCATCTTCGATATAAATTTGTATTTGAATGCAACTTTTTAACGGGGCAAAATAAAAACAATTTTTCAAGTTGCTCGCTCCAGCGCAGACTGAATAATGTTCTGAGCTGACCTCTACGACAGGCACGTATCTTGAAGTTTAAAGAATGCTTACTCGGACCGAGGCTTGGATTCAGCATCATGTCAGCCAACTTTGATGATTTCCAGTCGGATCTAGCTACTTTTGAAGTGGTAGAAACCTTAGGGAAAATTACTTAAAAATTCTATGAGAATAAATTGTGCATGACTTTTGGAACCTTTAGATTCACTCTCAGTATCACAATTGTCATTTTTATATCGAGGTATACAAAAAATATCATATTTTGTCTTTTAATAAAATGTAATTTAATAAATCTATCAACTTAGGATCCAAATATTTGTTGTGATACGGTTTAATTCTCACAATAACTCTTTAAAACGTTTTTAAGAGTTGAGTATGTTAATAATAGGATATTTTTAAATAAAAGTTTTTTGTATAGATTGTTTCTGTAAAATGCATTTTTACGTACTTTGTTAATCCTTGACTTAGCTTCTTCTGTACATTCCGTAGTTGTCAGCTCTGTTCGCAGGTAGCAGGTAAAAAAGCGAGATCCAGACAACAGCTGCACATTCGGCGACTCCGAGCATATGCATATTTCATGCGTTAACGCCAACATTTGAATTGCAGCAGAAGAAGTAATGGAATGGGAATGGGATGGAGTGCAAGGACTCGCAGTCAGCGCAGGATGCTTTTGATTTATGGCCGTCGTTGTTGGATTCCCGCCCCCAATCCGCCCCAATCCAGCATCCTGGCCTTCAGGTCCGCAGCTATCAGCACCAGTTGAGTTGTCAGTTGCCGCATAAAGAATGCATGTACAATAGCGTAAATGTGATAAGATCCCTTTCAACATGAGCATCTCAGGGTTCCTGCGAGGACTCAACTGGGAGTCCATCCTGCTGACTTTTCTTCAGGAGAATTAAGAGCCCAAAGCTAAATGCTGCGCTTAAAGCCAAATACAAATGCGTATTTATTTAACGTTCGGCTTCAACAATGAAACAAAAATCTCCAAACAATACCATTGGAAATAACTTAAAAATTTTAATATGTGAATAAAATATTCTCATATGTCCTTTCACGTTTTTGCGTCTTTATTATTGTGCATACTTGCTTCCCCAAATTATAACTCACATGGTAATATATTTTAATATTCATTATTTATTTTTAATATTTATTTTTAAATTTTTGAAACCACTTGATTTGCTTCACTTTTTACACCTTTCAGTAAAATGTTAAATTACTTATAGTCTAATTTGCTTACACTTTAATATGTCTGACTTTTTTCAAATTTATATTTGCTCTCTTACGCCAAGTGCAATTTAAGTACATATTTGACAAAATTTAGCTGCGGATTTTGTTTTAGTTTAAAACTATTTGTGCATACAAAATAGATTTAAAATAAAGAAGGATATAGAGGTTAAACTAAAAGTGAATTATTTTTCGACGCATATTAAGTTCTTGGCTTCCTTTTAGTAAAACAATTTAGGTAATTGTTTTTTGCTTTTCACATGGTTTTTAACAGCTCTTTTAATGCATTTTTTTAGTGTATTTGTTTTACTATCCCTTTGCTTTTCTCTACGAACGGAATTTCGAATGTTTTTGTTGGCTTGTGCTCTATTCAATTTTATTATAAAATTTCCTTAACTTTTAACTAAACATTAATTTTCTAAATTGTATCGTTTGATTAGTGCAAAAAATAGTTTCCCTCTTCAGTGTTGATTTTCTCGATTTGTTTGCTTAACTATTTGGCTTTGAAAAATACTTTAGCGCCACAACGTAGCATGAAACTGGTTGCATTTTATTTTGGTTCAATTGTATTTTTAGGACTTGTTTGCCGACCACGTTGAACAGTAAGTTAGATTTCATGAAAATGGTTGATGGTCTTCAGCAAATGTGATTGAAACAAGGATGTAACTTCTAAGCCACTTCTTTGGTAGGGTTGATTTTTGCGGTTCATTTTTGTGCACTCGAGAACTTGATTTGTAAGCTTTCTATTTATCTTTAGTTTTGTGACTTAAAATCTACATTTTGTAATTGGTCCTTTGGTTTCAGAACATTGCTTTAAAGGCACAATTGTTTAAACTAGTTTCCTCCATTTTTTTTTTTTGTGAATTATTGGTGTGCTTTGGGTGCCTTGGCCACGCCCATTTAAGCCATGTTAGTACGGCTTGGCCGCATCCTTGGAACGTTTCAGTTGGACCTTCAGCCGCTTTGTGCCGATTTGAAAGCCATGCATCGCCTGGATGGCCGCGTTGGCAGAATGTGGATTGTCGTAGGACACAAAGCCGAAGCACTTCGACAGGTTGGTCTGCTTATCGATGAACACCTTGGCCGACAGTACGTTGCCGAAGGGCAGAAATGTCGACGCGAGATCCGTGTCAATAAACTCCTGAGGTAGGTGATAAATGAATAGATTGCTGCCATCGGGACCTGTTTGTGAAAAGAACAAAATATTTTAGAAAATGCACAAAAGGTAAAAAATGTAGTTGCTATTTCGTTATAGAACATTTTAGTTTCTTTTGTAACGAAAGCCTAAGGCAACCAAAAATGTATATATTTAGAAAGTAACACAAATTCGTTGCAAATAGAATATAATGAATATATGTAGTCAAATTGAAAGATTTTACAAAATTTTGACACAGAATAATAAATTGATTTATCAATTAAAAAGTATGCAAATAATTTGAATATTAGGTAAACCATTTAAAATGAACAAATATTCTTGTATAAATTTGTAGGAAAGTGTTTTGTATAAATTTATGGCAGCTGTTATAATTATTATTCTGCACAAATTTTATTATTTTTTAATCTTAGGTATTCTTGATTTTTAGTATATTAAAAATTAATTACTATTATTATTTAATTATGTTCAATTTTAATTACCTTCGACCTGCTTGCCAGCCACACCCGCAGCTGCCGCTTGAAGGGCGCTGGCTGTCAGAGGTTGCGATGTGGCACCGTAGGCAGCTCCATTTGAAAGTCCGCTCAGGGAGGATGCATAGGGGTCTGCAGCACTTGTAGGCCCTAAAATGTGGGAATTAAAATTACAATTTACTGACTCAAATTACATGATTTATTCAACTGAAAGAAATTATAAAATAATTATAAATTGTACGCAAATTTCATTTTTCCAATAATAAGTTATCCAAAACAAACACTTACAAAAAGGAACGAGGACAAACACACACACACAGAGGGACACAGATACATACGCAGAAAAATATATATCATCAAACATACACACGTACCATATCTGAACAATAAACGAACCCAAGTTGAGTTAACGTATATGAGATTCGCCCCTTTATTTATGATTATTTTCAGTCTTCCTTTTCACACTTCGTGCTCAACCATTTTATGTTTTATTTTATCACTTTTTTTGTGGCCCCTCGTCCTTTCATTATTAAATTTTATTTTGATTTTTCCCTTTTGTTTGTGTATCATGAAAAAATTTGTTAGCCTTTGTTGTTCCGGTCTCTCCCCATGGCGCCAGTTTTTTAATTGAGCCTGCCAACCCTGAACCAAAAATTTTGGTGGCCCCCTGCAGTTCGCTTTGTGCTACGCCCAAATGCTTGTTTTCCATTTTTTTGCATAATCTACCATAAATTTATTACTTTCTTTTATTTTTTAATGTTCTTTCACTGCATTTCGTGTGAGAGTTTTTTGTAGCTTCTGAAAATATATGGGAACATTTTTTATGTTTCCCTATTTGTGAGTGTAAGTTTTAGAACAAATTAAATTTTAGTGCTTTCGGAATCCATAAAAGCTGATAATTGAAAAGCTAATTGTACTCGGGGATGTGGAAAACTGTTGGAAATTTATTGTGTTTAACAAGTAAAGTTTAGTTTATTCCATATAATCGGCTTGTGGAAATGAATTGGCCAAGATATAAGTAAATATTGAAAGCAGGGTCTTCAGGACTTTGTGCGAATCTGTTTAGTACTTAGAAAAATGTATGAATTATTAAATTATAATTTCGAGTGTTTTCATATAGAATTTCCAATAAGCGGACAATTTCTAGAGGCCCAGCTTTCTATTCCTGGAAGGCCTAATATTATGCAATTTATTAAAGAATTCCTTTCTTCATATAAATAGAAATCACATAGCTAAGTTATCGAATCGCTTCTTGAACTTCCCCCCTATATTGTTCTCATATTTTTCGCTTTCATGTTGTTTTATTAAATTTGAATTTTTGCTATGCAATCAAGAACGTATTGTATGGAATGCCATTTATTTATTGTTGTCAGTAACACGGATTCGATTCTTTTTTCGCGTTCGCTGGTTTCCTACCCTTTTCCTGTTTTTATCAATTTAGCTTCGGTTTGTGTGTAAAAAATTTTGTTTTATTTACAGAGATGGGTAGAGTACAAACATCAAAAAGAAAAAAGACTTTTTGGAATTAGAAATGTTCACACAACTGGATGTTGCCGAGAGGAAATTCTAATCAACTGCTGGGAAAAGCAATTGTTAAATTTTTAGTAAATATATCTATTTTATGTAAAATATATATACAAATATTTTTCATTTCGTGTTCTTTAAATGATCGTTCTTTTATTTATAGCTAATAAAATTAAACGCCATATCTGAATTTAAAACCGCTCTTTTAGAAAATAAGAATTACACTAAGCTTGTGAGGTAAACTTTATTCAAATATCCTATTAAAGAGTTTTGTGTTGAAATAGTATTTTGTTTGTTAATAGAGGATAGGTAAAGGGTGGGCGAGGGCGTAGGCTCATGCATTCAGCCAAGGGATTTGTTATTAAGGCTTTTATAGTTCACAATTAGTGTGATTAAATGGCAGAGGAAAAACTCTGTTTGGTTACAATACAAAACGAAACAAAAGAACACAAACAAATATACAAAAGGCACTTACAAAAGGTAGAACCCAAACACCAATCCCCATACATACACACATACATATTGGTTTATATATTCACATTTTCTTGATTTAACGTTGTGTTAAAATTGAATTTAACAGCTTTTAAGAAATATATTTAAAAAAAGATTTGAATATATTGAGATTTTAAAATTGAATTTAAATTGAAGTTGTGATTTACAAGTTTGTATTTAAATTTTATTTTCAGAATTTTTTTTTGATTTTCTAAAGGACTGATTCTTTGGCTGTGAATCTTTGAATGAATCGTACTCTACCATTGAGAACAGTTATTAATTGATAACAATCTACTTACACAGCGCGTTCAAGGTCAGCGTTTGGCCCCCGCCCCCCGGCTGAGTGGGCGTGGCCGTGTGACCCATTAGCTGCGACCTTGTGTGGTTGTTGTTGTTGGTGGTGGCGGTGGTGGTGGTGCTGCTGCTTGTTTGATGGTGGGCGGTGGCGTTGGCGAGGGTCAGTTGGTGGTGGGCGGAGGGCGCGGCTAGCAGGGTTACCAGATTCTGCATAGACAGGGATGGAGCGGCGAGCAGTCCAGCGCCAGGAGCATGCCCGGCGGTAGGGATCCCTGCGGCAGCCGATAGAGATGCTGCTGGTGAGGCGCCACCGGCGGGACCGGGTTGGCTGTGGTGGGCACTGTTTTCCGGTGGGTGGTGGAAATTTAGTCCTGATTTTCCATAGTCATTTTTTGTTTTGTTTTGTACAGTTTGAGTTGGTTGGTTTATGGTTTAAGGTTTTGGTTGAGTTGGTTGATTGAGTTGATTGATTGTTTTGTTTTTTTTTTTTTTTTTTTTTTTGTACATGACCACAGAGTCAATCATAGACATACCAAATAATGTTCAACGAATATTTATATATAAAAAACATAGAAGAAAACACACACCCAATTGGATTATTTACATATACAAAAAATTATAAAAAATTAATTTCGATTTAATTTTTTGGTTTGGTTTTTGGTTTCGATTTCATAAATTTTATGTAAATACATACAAATCAAAACAAATAAAAATTAAGATAAAAACAAAACATGAAAATAAACAAAAAGGGGAAGGGAAAAAACAAAAACAAAATGAAAATGGTGAACATAAAATGAAAGAGAAATAAAATATATATTAAACTTATGTAAAATAAAAAAAACAACAAACATTCAAGTAAATCATAAACAAAGGAATAAATTAAATAAATAAAATACAAACACAGGAATTAAGTAATTAAAAAATGCAAAGGTTATAAATAAATAATTAAATTAAAATTAATAAAACGGGATGCAAATATTGGTAAAAATTAAAATAAAATAAAATCAAACATACAAACGCTTAAATAGACATAAATTCAAATCAATCGAATGCAGTTAGACATAAACTATATAAAATTAATTGCATCAAGTAATTAAAAATCTAGAATCGCTGGCGGAAGGAATCGGGCAATGAAAAATTCTTCATTTTCTTTTTCCGTTTCCGGCTTTTATTATTCTTTTATATTGCATACTTGGCGGCGCTGGCAAAAGATTGAAAGCTGTTCTACACAAAACAAGAATCCTAGGAACACACAGAGACAAAAAGAGAGAGCGAGAGAGCTGGCAGGTGTGGTATGTGTGCGAGGGAGAGAGATGAGCACAGACATTCACATAAGGAGCCGGGCATTGTCTAGCATATTTAAGGAATATTTTTCAAATTGCTTCCTCGCTTTGAATGAGCTGCCAGTAGCTGGTTGTGTAAGTGTTTGTGTGTATGTGTGTGTACTTTTTGGCCATCCTTGGGTGCCACGCCCCCACAGCAAATTCTCCCCTTTCTTGTGGGCATAATAAAACTTTAAGTGTTCTCACCTGCGGACAACTTCAAGTTGTTGCTGTTGCCACATTGGAATTGCATTTGCCTACATGCCACATGCCCCCGGCTATTGGGGCATTCACTACACTATATATATATCACGGCCCCTTCTTTTTGGCCACCTTTGATGGTGCTCTTTGCCCTTGGGGCCTTTGGCAAGACTTATAAAAATTTCAAGTCGGAAAATGGGCAAAGAATAGCAAGGAAAATGGCGGACAAAGACGTTCTCCTTTGGTTATTCCTTTGGTGATTTTTGCTTCTTTTCATTCATATTTAGGTAAGCATTTTTCAGGACTTTAAATATGGCTTAATTTATTAATTAGTTGGATTTATTTATAATTGGTCCATTTCTGTCAGTAATTAGAAGAAAATTCATTATATATGTAAATACATGAACAATTTACTATTTCTTATCTACATTGCTGTATAACTCCTTCTGCTATGTTATCAAAATATTTCTTATCAGGGTACTTCTGTTGCTCCTCCTTTAAATGATTGCCTCGTCCTTAGAAACCCACAATTAAATAATGTTTTTCTGTCATCTCTGGCTTTCTGAAATTGGTCAAATCAGCAAACGTTTACAGGTCTGCCGCATCCACTTAACGGGTTCGTTCGCCACTTAAATATAGAAAAAATAAAGGGAACGAAGGAGCGCAGAGGACACGTTCCATACATTTGCTGGCCATCAGAGTTCGGAGTCGTTGAGTCCTCGCCGCTCCTTCTGCTGCCTCCTGGATCTGGCATTTAAAAACGTCATTTGTTATTCAAGTGGCATACGTCGTCGCTCTAAGTTCCCCTAACTGCCCAACAGTCGCCCTCACTGTCCGTTTACAGTTACTGCCGTCAGTCGGTGGCCACCGCCTCCTCGTCCTTCTTTTCTCACTTTTTCTCGGTCCGATTCCCTTTCGCATATCCTGTTTCTTGGTTGGGAGTGCCGGCTTTAGTACAAGTCATGGGTAGCTATGAGATTTACATTCGATTGTGGTATTTTTTAAGCATTGTTACAAGCTTTTTCTCACATTCATAAAGGAAACACACATTTTTTTTTGCTAGATAAGCAAATCAACTTTGTAAACTTAAAACTTATATTTCTTTTTTAAATAAATTTTTAATTTTGTTTTAAAAATTTGGTTTGGTTTAGGTAAAATGTATGGTAAAAGCTAGTCGTTTAAAACTTGGAGTTTTTCAAAAAGTTGAACAAAGACTTATATAATATTTACCTAGGAAATTTTCTACAGATTGCAATTAGAAAAAAATACTCTCGAAAATATTTTTTAATTAGAGCATCCCCTCTACGGTGAAATACAAATTTCAGGGGCGGATTTTTTCGCTTTGTGCGATTACATCACGCGCCGCTCAACATTTGGTTGTCTGTGATTCCCCCTTTATTTCATTTTATCCCCTCACCCTCGCCTTTTGGCTGTTTGTTCAAGCTCTCGAGCTTGATTTGTTATGCGCAAAATGTCCACGTTCCCGTCGAGACTGGCCAGGGGGCGGGTGGGCGTGGCACGTCGGTCATTCTAATGAAGCGGCGTTGCATATGCAACACGTTTACATTGACGCCGCGTACGTGTGACGGACCTGCGACTGTTCCTGTGTCCGTGTCTGTTTGTGAGTCTGTGTGTGTGTGTGTTGGTGTGTCTGTGTTGGCCAGAAATCTGAGAGCCCGTCTGGGCCATCATCCTCATCATCGTGTCATCTCGTCATTGTCGTTGTCCACCTTTTAATCCTATTACAATGTTTTTGTTTTATTCATCAGGCGCCTGAAGGGCTGGGCCGCGTTTTCCTTTCTTTCCCTAACTTTTCCGGCTTACTTTGCTCTGCGTCTCCTTCGCCTGCATTTATGCAAATTTTGTTGCTTAAATTGAAATTAATTATTTGACAGTTGTTGCTGGATTCTGCCTTGGCCATCTACTCTACCTTAAATCTGCTGTTTATAAATGATGTAAGCGGGGAAAAAATTGGAAGGATTTTACTTTTTGTTGAATGTCAAAACAAATGACTAGGGAGCATTAAGCTTCGGACGATAAATGTGGCCCATCATGTAAATTATAATTGCTGTATTAAATCCTTTTTACTTAACAAATAGATTTTAGAGTATTTTTACAAAGTTCTTGCAAGCAAACCTCGTAACAAATAAAGGCATTATAGGAACTAATTATAAATATCATTTAAAAGTTTGCATTCATTTTTTATTACGTTTCACACACATAGACACCCATAATTAAATACCAATCAACCAACAGCTCATTCAAATATTTTAAAAAGCCTTAAAAGCTTTTGATTTTTAAGGGGCTTAAAACATACACTTAAAATGCGTTTGAAATAGAAATAAGTGGAAAATGAATGAAGACGACAATAAAGTTAAGAATTCGAGGAATACAAACATTTTGAAACATGTTTCTGCAGGGTTGCTATTAAAAACAAGAAAGGAAGCTAGCTTCGGCAAGCCGAAGCTTATATACCCTTGCAGTCATCAAATATGTCGAACAAAACGCATAAAGGCTAGACAACATCGAATCTAAGACGATTTTTCTATTCATTTTCCATATTTTTGACTATAGATCATATGGGAGCTATACGATATAGGTGTCCGATTTTGATCAAATTTAATTCGTAATTCAAGAGTCGTAAGAAAACTCTATATTCCAAAAATCATACTTGTCTGATGAAAAACAACGATATTATAATTTTATTTCCATTATTTCTATATAGATTTTTCGATCTTTCCTATAGCAGCTATAAGATATAGATGACCGATTTTTATGAAATTTTTTTTCAATATAAACGTTGTTAAAAAACTTGATATTCAAAAATCATGCTCGTGGGATAAAAAACAACGATGTTATCAATTTATTTCCATTAATTCTATATATAATTTTCGATCTCTCCTATGGCAGCTATATGATAGAGTTATCCGATTTTGATCAAATTTAATCCGAAATTCAATAACAGTTAGAAAACGCCATCTTGAAGAATTCAAGTCGATCTGATCAAAAACAACGGCGTGAGAATTTTTTATTTCATTCTCTCATATGGGAGCTATCCGATATAGTCGGCCGATCCGGCTCGTTCCGACTTATATACTGCGTGCAATAACTACACACCTTTTGGGAAAGTTTCATCAAGATAGCTTCAAAACTGAGAGACTAGTTTGCGCGGAAACGGACAGACGGACAGACGGACAGACGGACAGATGGACAGACGGACAGACGGACAGACGGACAGACGTACATGCATATTTGGATTCTGATCGTGATGCTGATCAAGAATATATATACTTTATGGGGTCTGAGGTGTCTCCTTCACTGCGTTGCAAACTTCTGACTGAAATTATAATACCCTTTTGCTCTGCAAGGGTATAAAAAGCTAAAAAGTGCTCTGTTGGGAAAATTAAGGATAAACAAGGAGTGAGACACACTGAGTAAACAACGAGCAGATGTGTGCAGGGAACAAGGACAAATAGAATGGAGAGTTACTGATAGATAGAAAGATATATAGAGGGGAAGATGCAACGCTGTGGATTTATTCTGTGTCTGTGACTAAAACTGATCGAATGGGATTTATTTAGATTTTTTTTCGGGGTTTCAGGGGTGGGGAAAATCGAAGGGGTAACCGGAGGAGCCTAACAGATAAACCTAGGTTCTGACCTACTTCGCGGAATCCACTCACCTGGCAGATAGTGCGCCGGACTCAGTCCGTATCCGTGGAGTTGCTGGTAGAGTTGCAGGTGGGCCGCCGTCGTGGGATCCGCTCCCAAGTAGGAGTTCATGGGAACCAAAGTTGTTTGGGCCGCTGCCGCCGCTCCCTGATGGGCGTTGCTGGCCAGGAGATTGGGCGTTAACGATGCACTAAGGGCACTCGACGAGTTCATGGGAACCAGTGTGGTTTGTGCAGCCGCTGCAGCTCCGGCCTGCTGAACCTGCGGCACTGCCGCCAAAGCGGCCGCCATCGAAGGATTCGGACGTACCGCCGTGGGCGGGGCGGCTATCAGTGCTGTGGCCGCATTGATGGTGGGCGTGGCCGCACCTGCCGACGCTCCGCTCGAGGCGTTGATGCCGCAGAAGGCGTGGATCTGCTGCATCTTCTTTTGGTCCTTCTCCTTTTGCGTGTCCGCAAACTTTACGACCAGCGGAGCCGAACAGCCCTCCATGGTTTGACTTTGGTGGAGGGCCTGCAAGTACAAGGAATTTAACAGATATATTATTAAAACTATTTGGTAAAAAAGGTGAAGTAACAAAAGAATGATTGAAAAAAAAATTGAATGAAATCGAAGGCTTTTGCAACTTTTTAACTGGTATTAAACTTTATTTTTTAATATTACTCATACGCAGGGTTGGCAGATCAGAGCAGTGCTTTAGTCGGCAGGGTTTTATTTTGTGCCATATTGTGGTTTGAACTTTTAGTAGTTAATTTATATTTTCGTTAAAATGTACACAATGTATTGAAAGACAATAACTCTCGCCATGTAAATATTTTAAAGCCTATTACTTATACGCAGCGTTGTACTTGATTGCATTCAACAGCAAATGCATACAACTTATTCGCAGTGCTATACTTAGTTGACTTCAATATTAACTGTGTTCTATCATATTCCATTTAAAGAATGCCTTACAAATTTAATCACGTTTAAAACGAACATTAAAATCTTGTCAAAGAAATTCTTGTGTCGCAAGCCAAAAAATGCGTTGCATCTCGATCTTCGCCTCTCCAGCGGAAACTGTTTTCCAACTGTGCAGCCATGGCGACCTGTTTAAAAACTCGGAAATTTCCCTAATTACTTTGTAGCCAAGAGCAGCAGTGTCGCGATGGATGGTAAAAGCGGGAAAATGCGGGGAAAAGCGGGCGGTTCGGGGTGCTGCAAAACAATGCGCCGGCCATAAAAGTCGCGCCAGAGCCGCAAGAATTATAGTCAATGTAATTAAAGAGCACTTCTGGCGGCTGCCACGATACAGGCGGGCAGGATGCAGGCCAGAGTTGCCACCGCCGCCACAATTGAGCGGAAGTTTCGGCCCGGGTCGCCGTGGCCCCGGCTGAGTTTCAATGATAAAGTCTACATAAACCGGAAAATAAGTAAAGTGGCTTGCCAAACCCCTCGAATGGGGGTTTCCCCTCCCCTTGTCAGACCGCAGCCTAAATGCCTTCGCTAAATGTTTGGCCTGGTTTTCGTGACGCTGCCAGAGTTGCCAGCCTCGATTCTCGGCCATGTTCTCGTTCCCCCGCCATTTTGTTTGTTTTCGGGCTTAGCAGAAAGGTGTAAATTAAGTCGCCTAAGCGGACAAATGGCCGTGTGGGTTAAACTATCCTGCGGGGTGGGGGTGGGTTAACGAGGGAGTGGGTGGTTCGGCGGTGGAGTGGGTGGTTCATTGGTAAAGTGGGTGGGTTGTTGGTGGTCGGGTGGACATGCGGAGGCGGCTTAAGTGCGCGTCATTATTCCGAGGCTGTAAGCCGCCTCGCTGTTGCCATAAAACTTATCAAAACTGTTTTCGGCCTCGAAATGACGCGAATTTGTGGGAGGTGTTTGTATGAAAGTTGTTGTGGTTGTTCAAGAAGTCTAGTATAATAAGGGTTGCTGTCAGGGGAGTTTTAAGCTTTGATCTTAGTTGATTGGATTTCAGACCTGACAACAATTTTAGATTAAGATTTTGAAGCCTCATCTGTTGCAATGTTATTTATTTAATTTAATGTTTAGGAAAATAAACCTGAAACTTTAATTTCCCACAAGTGAATTCTTGAAACTGAAATCTATTTCTTATTCTGACAAGGAAGTCAAAAGAAAAATTATTACAACATGGGCAATATTTGTCTTCCAATTTCTCAAATCCACTTTTCGACAGCTGAAAACACTTCAACTTGCACTCTTTTTTCTAGGACGTCCCCAATGGCACCTACTAATCCTCAGTCATTTTTCACAGCTTGGCTCGACATCTCACTTGTCAGCGGAGCAAAAAACGGGTTAAATGACCCGTTGGGCAACAGTGAGCACTGGAGACTCAACCGCATTCCAAACTTGGCCTGGACCGAGCGCCAACCACTTGACAAATTAGCGAGACGAATGCGAAAAATAAAATCTGCATGCGTTGAAAAATGCTATCATCATTTGGCCACCGCCCCCCAGCTCCTCGTATTTTTTGCCTTCGTTAGGGTTCTGGTAAAGAAAAAGAGACTTAATGGAGGAGCAGAAGCCGAGAACAAATTGCTGGGCTATAAACATGGCACATTAATATTAAATGCACTTTGCCAGCAGCTCCGGCTCGAGCGTCTTTGGCCCGGGGTTTCGCCTTTTTTGATGGGCAACTGGCTGCGCTTTGGATTGCGTTTGATGGCGTTGCATACTTTCAGGCGTCAATAGACTGCAATGACTTGCAACCCTTGCTTGGCTGCCTCCAAATCATTTGGTTCTGGCCAGTCTGCTTGGAGCTGCTGCTTCTGCTTGGTTCTGCTTTTCAGTTTAATATCTCTGGGATCCCTCGGCCTTTTGGCCCCAGCTCATCGCCGGCGTGTGCGTGCCTTGCATCCCGTAATTTGACTTCAAATGCATTAAAATCGCTGGCGAACCCACAGATCATGGTACAGAGGAAACTAGCTATGTGTGTACCAAAATAATAATGTGTACACCAATATATAATTTGGCACTTTTGCAAGGAAACTATAATATTTAGAAATATATGCAGAATAGCTCTCAAAAGATCTTATTTTTAGGTTATTGCACTTAAATATGTATTGAAAATTACTTTAGTTGAAATTTGCAAAGAGTCACAATTTTTTTACACGGGTTCTATGGAAATTGCTTGGAAATGTATTTTAAAGTCCGCTGAATTTACTTCGAAACTCATCAAAAACTAGACAGATTCTATGACACTAACACATTGTTTGATTGGCTTTCATAAATCATTGCATATTTAAAGATAAATTCAGTAAAAATTCTTTCCTGTTTTCAGTTTTAAAATTGTTAAATGGGTTTTGATTTGAAATTGACAAATCAGTATTATTTAGCAGTATTCTTTTTTTAAAAGAACCTTCAAGATTTTTGGTGGTTTGTAGCGCGTTTGCACTTTACTTTCTTGGCATTTGTGAGAGTGTTCGTGTATCTGTGTTTCTGTGCAGAATAGTGTGCATGTATGGCTTTATAATGGCCGTCCGCCCACAACAACATTCATCTTGCGAAAGGCGACAAATTATGTGCAATATACAGAGGACAGAGACAGCATGTTCGGACCCTCTCTCTCCCTCTCCCTCTACCTCTCCCTTTTGCCTCTCTTTCGCCCACTCCTCGCATGTGTTTGTGTTTGGCTGTCGGAAGTTTGTAATTTTGCCTGTTTCCGGCACAAAACTTGCATTAGTCTCTGTTAGTTTGCCAGTGCGAGTGTGTGTGTGTGTGTTTGCTTAAAAGTAGGCGTGGCGGAGGAGGGATTTCGGGGGCAAAAGGGGGATTACTTGGTTGCCAGGATTACCGTTGACTTCTTCCGCTGCCAGAGGCGGCGTCTTGCTTGCGTTCCAGCTTCCTGTTTGCAGTTGCATGCGGTTTTTGTTGTTCTCGCCGCCATTGTGCAACGAACCTACGCCAGTATGTGTGCGTACGTGTGCGTGGGTGTGGGTGTGCCACTCTGCTTTGGTATGTGTGTGCCAGGCAGAAACGTGTTTTATATGCGCGACTCTTGCCGCCACTGCAATTAATCATTGCGACAGTTTTTCCCACACTCGCCACAGGACCAAAAGACAATAGCGCCCTTAAAGAGAAATGGCGCCTTTAAGCCGATCGCTTTGACAGTCGCTGATCCTAACATGTTGGCTTTATAAGCAATGGATATTGTCAAGAACTTTACCAAATATTTTTCATTACTTTCCCTTCTCCATTTTTTCCAAATAGCTTGGTTGCCAATTTAAAATATTTCCACTCAAAACATCAGTATTAGTGAATGGTTTTTTAATCAAGTCGTCTTTCAAAAATATAAAATTAACTCTTGAACTAGCAACTATACATTCTGAAGAGCATATTTGTTGGAAATCTTTAAGTGGTTTTTCGATTTTATGTAACAAAAGTACCGAAGAAAAATTAAAACTAGGATTATGTCTAACTATTTTGTAATATGTGTTATTTATTTTGTTCATAATATGTTTCACTCACCTTGATGGCTCCGATGGCGTTCTGCTTGGTGGCGAATGTGACGAAGGCGCAGCCCTTGCTCTGGCCAGCTTGATCCCGGAGCACGGTGCACTCCTCGATGGTTCCGTGGCCCGTGAAGAGCTGCCTCACATCGGCCTCGGTGTACTTTTTGTTCAGCATGCCGACGAAAAGTTTTCGCTCTGCAAATACATCAGAGGAAAATGGGAAATGAAAGAGTGTGTTTTTCAGCGAATGCTTACAGAGGCAAACATAAAATAAATACGCCCAAGTTGAGTGGTAGAATTAACATAAATAACAATTGTGGTTGGGCGAGAGCGGGTCAAGAGGTCGTCCAACTACAAACATTCGGTTTAAAGGCCCCAACTTGATGAGTTGCCAATGCGGCGGGAACTATTATTATGGCCCGCACGGTACTTCATTCGAGGCTGTAAAAATGCTGCCCCAACCGAGGCAGCTGACTGATTGACTGACTGACTGACTGACTGAATGGTTGGCTGAATGAGGAGAGGGCCAAACGAAATGGTCACCATAAAAATAGCATTAAAAAGCGCGAAAAGAGTACATGCCTGTGTGGCTTAAAGGCTTTAAAGCTTATGGGTAGCCAAGGTGACATAGCGATGGAAACCTAGCTATTTTCCAGCTGAATTTTAAAGCTAAATCGATAAATGCATACTACAGAGCAATAAAAATTATATTTAGAATACTTTAAAAATTGTTAAAGAAAATACTAGGTAATTATAATGTAATTTATTTGTACTTAGTTGACTATTTTTTAAAACATTTTAAAGTCTTATTTAAATAATTTAATTTGAGTAGTTCTTCCAAAACTACATAAGTAAACTTAACCATTAATAGTTAAGCATCACTGGAATTTTCTTTGACCTATAACAGGTTAACACATGTTTGGGGGATTTCATTTTATGAACTCTCAGCTGGCGCTTAAATTTGTTAATGAGCCGACACTGTGCGTGCTGGCTCCGTTTAACGATCGGTCAGCGGGTATTTAACCCAAATTGTAGCACACTCGGCGTATGAGTGATATTTTTGACTATTTCCTTCATAGCCTTCGAACCAAGGGAGCTGCCATTAATCAGAAAACAACTTTGTAAGCAGCTGGGACCTGTAAAGGGAAACAACTTTAAGTTGGCCCAATAAATCGAGTGCGCCTTTGGTCTTCCTGCAGATTTGAGATCGCTCCCCTCATCGAAACGAGAACATTTGTAAGGGAAAAGTTTCTTTGCATGGCAATTGTTATGCTTTATCTTGGTCCCCATGTGAAAAAGGGGGTGAAGAGTGGGGTATTCCAAAACTTTTTTGGGAGCGCACATGCAAAAGACTAAAAACGCAATCGCAACAAATCGAATCAATGCAACAAGAACTGGCAACAGAGTAAGTACGAGGAACTTTTCATTCTGCAACACTTTCGAGCACTCGTCCTGCATTCCTCGAACTGTCCTATCTTGGCTTTAAGTTTCCCAGAGACAACACACACTGTACATATGTAAAAGTATGTAAAAGCATTTGGAGCTCAGGCATTTGCTTAAAAACAAACTAAGCGTGCGTTCAAACCACTTTTTGATACCTTAACTTGGGAAGAGAGTTGCAATCAAGAGTGTTTGAAGTTTGTTAACAAAAACTAAGAAATCAAAAGATAACTGAAGAGTTAAGAAGATTTCTTCCTTGCTTTATGGAATAAAAGAAAAAACATAAGAAGCACATTTACAATAACCAAGAGATAATTAACATTATTATTAAAAATAATTTAGATTTATATTATTAGAGCACCTTTAAATATCAGGTTATTTTAGCAGTTTCTTGGTAAATAATATTAAAAGGGTGAGAGACCTTCACCGAAACACACTCTTTACTTTTTGCACAGGGGTGTCGTTGAGTATAAATATAGAAAATTGTGTCGCTGCAAGGGAAGTGATTGGAAATTGTTGCTTTCGCCTGGAGTTGGCACCAACACCAGCACCAACACCACCAGAGGTGATCCAAGGGGACCCCCAACCAGGGCACTCAGAACGCACTCAGAACCCGCCCAAAGGGTCCTTCGAAATGGGTCTTATCTATAGAAGGGAATGGAGAAGGGGAGAAAGGGGGGATGAAACTTTTTCCAACTGGGTGCGAGGCATTCCTGTGTGCTAAATACATACGAAGTTATAGTTCTTCGCAGCCAGGTTTTGTTTGCCGTGCACCCTCGCCCAGGTTTTTTTGGTCTCTGTCCGGCACATGTGCAAAATTTATTTGAGGTTAGTTCAGGTGTGACACAAGAAGTAACATTTTATATATTTATTGTATGGATTTGCCATTTTAAGTTGAAACTTTGCCAGCGAAGATACGAGTGGCCCGAACCAAGGGCTGTGACAAAAGGAGGTTAAAACTTATTGCAGCCACCTGAGTCCGCCCTTTTTGCCACTCCCCCTTTCCCCTTTCCCCCTTTTCCCTTTTGGAGGAGCTTGTTAAGGTCCTCTTTTGTATTTGGCATCGCTGATTGGAAAGTTTTATGCGCACGTGATTTTTTCAGCGCTGATAAAAGCGTGTTGGGAAAAGTCCAGAGCAGCGAAAAATAAAACTCTCAAGCATTTGCTTTTATCCTCGCAACTGATGTGCGTTAAATTGCTTAGCGATGGATGAGGTGCAAAAAGTAGAAGGTAGTTTTAATATATTATTTTAGGCTACTTAAGGAAGGTATTTATTATGCTGAGAAAATAACACAAATCCCATATTTATGTGGGTTGTTATGTATAGTTATTTGTATTATTGATTTGCTTTTCACTTTTCCCCTCTCACTTTGAATGTAAATTGTGAAATGCAGTAATTTCTCTTTGGTTATGGCTCATTTCCATTGGTTGAGTCACTGCCGGTGCAATCTCCGCATTAATTCGGCTTTAGGCAGTTTATCATTTTCACCTTTTTCGGAGGCCAAGGAATCAGAGAGCCTGCGAAATGTCGCCAAATGGCAGGAATCTCATTTAAGTGAAGTCGCTGCCACCGCGACACTCACACTCACACTTTCGCTGCAGCTCTCTGTCATTCCTGTGGGCCATTACAGTTGCAGAAATTGCAATTTCACGACAATTACCACAAATTGGTTTCCTCAACTGGCTGGGCGAACATTTTCGTTTCGTTTCGTTTGGTTTGGCTTGGTTTCGTTTTGGGTCGTCCTTCTTCGTGCCTTCCGCCTCACAATTATGCAGCAAAGTTGCACGCCCCCAAGGGGGATTTTCCAGGATGAGGGGCACTTCCGCCTGTGGCATATGCATTGTAAGTTCATCCTTGGGAGCCAACTCTGCCATATGATGTCGTTAACTGTCTTAAGATTTATATGCACAGTCAAAAGCGGAAACTGCACTTATGTGAGAGGGGGGTGCAAGGGGGGTTGCAAGAGGGGGAGGGGGGTGTCGCCCCCATATCTTCTGGGTTCTCATATATTTCACTTCACACTTGAGACATCAACTTTTGTGTCAAGTCGGTTTTTGGCCCCCGAAAATTTTCAGCCCCGGGCAAAGTTTGTCATGTGCATAATTTACTTTTTCCCCACTCGAATTACGTATCTTTTATCTTATTAGAGTTTTTCTGTGGAGTCAGCCAAGCATTAGATTGCATTCAATTTGCATCGCAATTAAATTGCTCGCTCTCGGAAAAATCCTTCGACAGCTCTTAATTATTTCCCCAGTTCTGTTTGTTTGGCATAAACAAATTAAGCGCCTTGTGCGAATGTTTACAAGATAAGCGGCTTCAAAGCCAAATCTCTGGCATACTTTCTGGCGCCACACAATTGTACACACGAACATGTAGTCATGATACGCACTTACGCCAAGATATTTGTCAGGAAAGAGGTGGATTTAATGAAGACTAGATACCCTGATTTAGGTATATTTAATATTTGAGTTGCTCTGCTAGTTAAAAGGAACATATGAAAAGTTATTTGTAAAATATTCAAAATCTTAACCATCTTCAAAAACTTTGCAACATTTTTGGGGCTTAGTTCTTAGTAACTTTATTTTCGCTACTTAAAAAACTAACATTTGTGAATCTTTTACTATTAGTATTAAATTTATACATTTACGCACGACAATGTTGCTGCCAACTATATTGATTATAAATTAATTTAAATTCTTTTTACTTTTTTATTTTGCTCATAACATATTCTTAAGATGCTTAATTTCCCTAATAGCTAATCTTCCCAAATCGTCTGCCATTAAAGGGTAAACCGCAAACAAAAGTCAAACGCATTAACCAGAACAATTGCATTCGTGCAAACGGATGAAGCGCATAAAACTTTTGCCAAAACAAGTGAGAGTGGGTGAAATTCCACCGGAGGGTTGTCAACCGAGATTTGCATAGATGGCAGTATGGATGGAGCAGAATTTGCTGCTATTGTAGGGAACATTTAAATGAGGACGAATGGAGTGGAGCAGAAGCGAAAGGATAAATGTTAAACACGCCAGCCAGATATGTACAAAACACACATTCAAATCAGAAACTGAAGTACGAAATGCGGAGTTCGAATCGGATAAATGGAACATTATTCAGGACATTATTTGGCCAGGGGCTAAGAAGAAGAAGAAGCTGTAAGGTAATACATATGTAAAAACAGATGTGAACAAGTTGGCTAATGGCTATTACATTGCTTCGGCACTTCTACTCTCTCTTCCAGGAACAAATGGCATACAAAAGCTTAAGCCGAGTACTCCGAAATATTATTTATATTTGGCTTAAGGTTTTAGTTGGCTAGACAAATGTTGTGCTCCTTCTCCCTTGGCCATTTAATTGGTATTACTTTTAATAGCTTAATCACAGGAAGTACACTTCGTTCGCTGCACCTGTCTGCTTAATCCTGGAACTTGAATTGAATCCTGAATTAATCAAGACACATTATAATAGAGCTTGTCTCAGACAGCATCTAATCACATTTTAAGCTACTTAGGCCGCTTCTCGGCTCCTCGTCTATCAGGTTTCAATTAAAATTTTGCATAAGACATGGACGGTTATAAGCAGAAAGGCGGGGAGGATAAGTGGAGGACTCGGGATGTGGGATGTAAGATACTTCACTCCCGATCCGCCGTCTCTAAAAACAGTTAACGTTTTCAATTATAACATAAACACTCCGGCAACACTGTGCACACTACAAAGGAAGCCAAAAGAAAGACTTTCCCCATTACACTTACCGATA